TTCTCCTCCAAAAACGCCGTCGAGCGGGGTGAGGGGGATATATACGCGCGCTGAAACGGCAACTTTTTTCCTACGCCCCTCAACAGTTTCACCTCAAACTCACATGTGGTTTCAAACGACTGAAACGGGTACGACCCCCCTCCTACAAACTCAACCAAGTACGACCCCCCCGTTGTTACTAGTAACAACGTAGGGTTGACCCTGGTAGAGAGCTTGAAGTACTTGTTCCGAATGGGAGCCTCAGGAGCTCTAGAATAGAGGAAACTTCTACTTTGGAGTGAAATTTTGCATGTGAAGTTGTTTTGCACTTTGTCTATGGCATCAGCATCCTTTTGTATTGTGATTTATAATGATTTAGGTCGCGGCAGTGTGTTGGAGAACCAGGATGTCACTGCTTTGGACCGGCCGAGGAAAGCCAACAGTGTCGAGGACCGAATCCGTGTGAAACCAAAGCGCCATGCTAGTCATAAGCTGATTGTTACTCACATCCTGCCCATAGCTTCGAAAATTTCAACGAAGTTATGTCGATTATATTGGTAGAATAACTGAAATGACCTGTGAGAAACGCTAGTATGTACTAGAGCTGTACAATTCTAATATTAACAAAGTGTTTCTATATTTTGCCGAGTTACAGAGTTGAGTAACAGTAACACTACTTCGTTGTCTAACACGAGCACGGCTCCATTCGGTTCCGCGACCCTGGTATCACAAGTTCCAAGTCAAGTCATCTCAACTCCCTCTGAAGCGAGGAGAATAATTCAAAACTAGATCCGTTCCAACAAAGTCCTATAAGGATTTTTTGGTTGTCAGCCTTATTCGTTGTGGGACCGAGGCATTCTTGGAAAGATTGCTGCATATCATTTAATATGGTCGTGGTTGCACTATGAGCAATCGATTTCCTTAAATGGAATAAAGTTTAGAACAGAAGTATTGGAATGTAAAGAAGAAAACGGGAAGCTGCTCCGAAAGCAAGCGAAGGAGCATGACAAACAAAAAGGAGCAGGAAAAGCATAATGCAAATCCAAAAGCATCAATAGGACGCGCAATGGTTGCCTGCAAGGAAATATTAGCCTATCAAAAACGTTCGTGCCATTTTTTTTCAAATTTTACGTCAGAACTTTATTAAACAGTTTCTAGATTAGATATGTCCGCGAAAGGGTACTGTAAGAGCGCAACATGAAGCAACTTTCAACCGAATAATGCCGAGCTTAAAATTATCGATATTGAATTTGAACATCTGGGGTCTTCCACTGAATACAACCCCCATGAGTCAACCTGCTCTGTGGCCATCACATTACGATGTTTCATGTACATAAATAGTTTATAAGCTGCTTGATCGAGCTTCAACACTTCGCTCCTATGAAGTGTTTAGAGCTTGGTCAAATTGCTCTTCATGATTTGAAGTGCTCATGACAGCACTAGTACAAGGTTAACACGGCCTGAAAATTCTTTCCCGAATCCTTCCCCGTACGAATGACGAACAGCCTGCGCCCTGGGATGAGACGCCAGCACCATATTGACCACATGGAAAGGAAAGTGGCTGGATCGGACTCTAAGGACTGAAAATTAGCAAAATTTAGCAAAGGTTACATTTTGTTGATGGGATGTTCATGGATAAACCACCAAAACTTTCCCACGCTCCTGCATTGAAGCTAGCAAGGCTTGTTGTGATCACTGGCCAATGTTGTTCGGAGGTCTTCTACAACGATCCTCATGACTCAAGAAAATAAAAATAAAACATGT